GATAAATTTATCAATAAAATTAAAAAATTTTAATTCGTTAACAATTTGGTACAAAAAATTATATAAACTAATTTTTTCAATCCGTTAGCGGTTTAAACCTTAATAGTCATCTACTAGTCTTAAACCGCTAAATAAAAATTTTACCAAGCATTTTATTTATAACAATTTAAAATATATAAATTTATCAAATATGTATATTTAATAATTTAAGTAAAATCATTAATCGCCATCCCAAAACTACTATAACAAACTGGCTTAAATCCATTCTAAAATTAGAAAGGGAACAAGTTCGCAAGCCACCGGATGAAATCAGTTACGTGGCAACACGGTGGGGAGAGTGACGCAGCGAGTGGCGAAGGGCGACTATCCTTAGCGTTCCTCTAGCCAAAATTTTAGACTACTGTTTGGTCTCACTCCTTTAGTTTCGCCAATGAGTGCCACATCATTAGTTAATGCCATGTCACATCCTACGCGACTATTTATTTTGTTAGAGTTATGAGTTGAATAACCAAAATGTTGATTTCGATAAAGTTGGATGACTACCCAATAAATTCACCCATTAATGAACTATGAACATTTCTGGAAATATCTAGTTTATATAATGTTATAAGAATCTAGCCAAAAATATATATAATGGAATAAGAAAGTTTTTAATCTAATATGAAGGAAAAATAAAAAAAAAATTCTAATATTTGGTTGTCATGGAGGTTTGAACTCTTATCATCAATCTTAATAATAAGATTTTTAATATTATAAAATTATAAATTCTCTAAAATATTTGGAGCAAATTGTTATCTTTACCAAAATGGAAGAAGATGCAATTTTTCCTAATTAATATGCATGTTTTACATAATCAAGGTTCAGGTAAGTAGAACTTAGTGTTTCTTTAAAAAGTTACATCTTTTTTAATTTTAATGCAGATGACAGCTTAGTTTAAACTTCAAACATATTAAAAAATTTATAATTTTATAATATTAAAAATCTTATAATTACGATTGATAATAGGAATTTAAATTTCTATATTAACTACGTAATACTAATAATTTAGTTAATAAAAAAATCATCTTCCAATTATGAAGTTTACATTCACCTACTTTTCCGTCAATATCAACAATTAAATCCTTAACAATTATTATTTCTTAAATGAAGTGGCAAGGAAGCTGCTCAATTTCTTGAACTATCAACACAAAGTTGGCCTTAAATGGTAATCGGTCATCTGTCGCAAAATAAATGGTGAATCTTAGTTTTTCTTATTATCCACATCTGATTTTTTTTTTTTTTTAACAGGATTTGATCTGAAATTCAATGAAAAGTCTTATGTAGGGAGCAATTACTTGTCTTAACAAGACTTCTCCTCATACCTGATGAGTTTAAAAGTGAAATAACTCAAATTTCGAAATCTTTAATTTTATTAAAAAAGGATTATAAAAGTCAGAAAATACCTTTTCTAGCCTATACTTTACAATTAATATACTGCAACTTTCATCTTTTTTTTTTTTTTTTGGACAATTTGTATTATTGTGACGTACAAAAATCATTATCAATTCTTTTTCCTTGCAGATGGGATTTCAGGGTCATAGTTGCAGGCAATGGGGTCTTCAATAATTGTCTTTCTTTTTCCTAGCAGATCGGATTTCAGGGTCATGGTTGCAGGTAATGGGGTCTTCAATAATTGCCTTTCTTTTTCCTTGCAGATGGGACCTCCAACTCCAAATAAAGGGGAAAGAATTCCACTTGCAAAGTGTGAATACAAGAAAGTAGTTGGAGAAACAAAAATGACAAAAAATGGAAAGGAGCAAGCACCTTCGCAGCTTTGCTTTTTTCCAAGGAAAAAAATTAGAGCCCAGATATGAACATGGGGATGCCCAGTGTACCTGTAGATCCACACTCTTTTGGTGGAAAGTTTTGAGCTGTAAAAAGAGACAAAACTCGAAGGAATTTTAGGGGTTAATTAATTAAAAAATTTTGATAGGACTAAATGAGTAATAACCCATTATATTTTGATGATTCTGAAAATTTTTAAAAATTCCATCTTCTTATAGATTTTGGGGACAATGACGGTAAGGGCTCATTGAATTGATGGAATGGACCTACACTAACTGACACTTGACTTATTAGATGTCATCAATGAAATAATGTTAATTGGTGGTTCGTTAAAGACGTACATTCATCTATTGATATTATTGATATTTATATAATTTTAAAATT